TGTCTTGCATGCAATTTATACAATTGTAATCTTAAATACTGTTATGCATTATTAAATATAACCTTTTGTTGTACCCATTGTGTTCTATTTTTGTTGGAAGTGTTCATCATGTCTTATTTTTAGAAATTTATTGTAACAATTTATGTAATTGATGCGGTTGAGATTTAAAATCAGCTTGATGCAAATATAAACTACTGAAACAATATTTATTGAGAAACGAGCACAAGGACTTATTTGAAAGTAAAGTTAAAATTTTCATAATTTACCACTATTATTTAATGCAATAATTATTTATGCAATTTTCCTATATTATTTTATAAAAATTATTTATTAAGAAACTTGTATAAAATATATATTTCTATATTAACTGTTGTGAATAATAATTGGGCTACTATGTGTTGTGATACATCAATTTTATAGCCAATTCTGCAATTCTTTATATAATATGTTCTTGCAAAATACGTCTCAGCTCACATTTAAACTAAAGGTTTTGCCATTTTATAATGTAACTATTTTATAATTATAATTAAACTATTTCTGAAATATATGAAATCTTACCTTTGCGTAGGCTTATTTTATTAGGTCAAGTTTTTATGAAATACAACAATAATAATTATTGTTTATTATTATTATAAAACTTATTGTTTAAGTTGTAAATTTAACTTAACATTAAAGTTAAAACAACATTAGTTTCTTGATATCAATCCTTATTAAAAAATAAAAAAAAATGATTTTAGATTTAGAAACAGCTATAGCTGTTGTATACAATGGGGTCGGGACATGATGTTGAAAATCAGTGTAAAGTGTAGAGATTAGACACTAAAAACAACCTAAGTTGAAAAAATCGATTTTTGCTATCTTTCCCGGTAGCATGGCGTCACGATGTTATAATATAAATGGTATATTAAGCCTAATAGGCGTATCAAGATTTACGAATAAAGTATTAGCAAAATTAAAAATAACCAAAATTCTTTGACCCTAAAAATCTTTTTACTTGTTATAAAACTATTATCAGCGTATTGTATTGTAGTATAAAGTTCACAAAATTATTTTTAAAATTTATAATTTACTCCTGAAGTTTGTACTTTACGTCGATTTTCAAACAATTTAAATACTTTGAAGAATATTGAACATAACCTAGAAACCACGGTCTTATATATAAGCAGTGGCGGCCCGTCAGGGGAGGCAGGTGAGGCAGTGCCTCATCATAGAGAATTAAAAAATGAAGTATAATTTAAATATTTTACTTTCTATAATATACTATAAATTTTTAATATTTGGATTACATGAATTGTGAAATAGTCAATAAAATTGATTGATTTTATACGTGGAATACCCAGCAACATTTAAATTATTTGAATTTGAAACGACCGCAATTTAAACTAATATTTATATCTAGATGATTGCCTCAGAAGCATGCCTGAACTAATTTAGACTCACGATTGGCGTTAGCCTTGTTGTCTCGTTCTATTACAATGCGATATCATATTTGTCCCCTTCTCTCGTATTATCATACGCGAGGCAGGCACGCCTACATCCAAGGAAATAAGCAGGTGTTGTGGCAACACTGTTGCGGAATTTTAGATAAATTATACTTCACACGTTTTTCAAAATTCAAAAATAAATGGTATTAATTTTCTTATAATAAATCGATTTAATCGAAATTATATTTCTATTCTAAAATAAACATATTTTAACGCTATCGCCATCTTGTAGCCATCACAGTAGGTAACCAATAAAATAAATACAGATTCCTTCTTTAGGTTTGTTTTGGTTATAAAATTCTGAACTGTTTAAAGAACAAATCTGTGGTTATTTACGCAATATTTTGTTTATTCTTTTTCTATGAGTTTGTCTATTTTGTGATTCTTTTGTAAGTGGTTTATTCTGTGGGTTTAGTTAATTGAACTTGGTGATTTATGTGAATTTAGTCATTATGGATATTACGGTGAGAAATTGTACCGATTATGTTGACCTTCACATGGTTCTTGCTGAACAATAAAATATTAATTAGACAAAAATGAGGTTTATTTAAAATAAACGTCATTTTTACAATAAAATATATTTTATTGACAAAGCAGAGGATTCCTTTCCCACCACAGTCTAAGTTTTTTACTTAGTTTTAAGTATAGGTTGTAAACTGCGACGTCAGTTTTTTTAAGTTGGGTTTAAAAAAAATTTTCGCCTTTAAATGAGGCCTCACCAAAATGAAATGTCACGGGCCGCCACTGTATATAAGACCGTGCTAAAAACAGCTGTTCATTTGTAATTCTTGACATGTCTGTTATAACATCATGACCTCGCACGCTCTTTTTAAGGTCATCAAAGCGTTTTGAATGTTGCGTTCTTCAAAACGCTGTAGTATTCTCAAAAATTGTTTGGGAAATGTGAAAAAAGTAACACACTCGTATGCGTAGATTCCAAATATATTTTCATATATGCCATACAAAAAATTGCATGTCGCAACCCCATTTTTTATATAAAACTTTTATTTTAATCATTGGTTTTTATTTAAATATTAATATTTGTCCCTACTATAATACATTCTGATTTTAATAATTAAATTTCTTTTTTTTAAATTTTAGCTGTTTTTAGTATTAAGACAACGTTCATTTTTGTTTAAAGATTTATTGGGCCCTAATTAAATAATCTTTAGTTCCTCAATTAGGTATACCTATAGGTTCCCTAAAATTACCTGGAATTACCATGTGAAATTAGTTATGACTAATATTATAAAAATACATTAAATAGAAATCATGGTCAAGTTTCCTTGCTTTTAAATTCAATTTCACTTGCGTAGTTGTGCTATGGATTTTAAAAGGGTTGTGTGTTAAAATAGGTTATAGAATATAGTTTAATTTGGTAAGTACTACAGTAGATATCGTATACATATAACGACGTCATAGGGACCGGAGAAATTCGGTTGTTTAACTGTAGGTCGTTATATCCAAAAAATAAAAAAGCCTATTTTAGACTAGAAATTCGTCGCATAGATATATTTAAATATTTATTATTTGTATGATTATATCGCAAATAATTTGCAGTAGCAATATTTTTTAAATTATTCTATATTTGAAAAAAGAGTTAAACTTAAATATTAAATTAAACACATTATATATTTAATTTATACACAACCCTGTTTTATAGTTTTTATATCAAGGGAACTAAAGGACGAAAGAGATCAGATTGACATTGTCAAATGTATTTAATAAAAGTTCGTTTAAAAAAATTATAAGTTATAGTTAACAAATTTTAATTTTTTGTTTTTTGGGCATTTAGATAAATGTTTTTAATTCTTAAATACAGAACTTTTCGTTTAATTCGAACCTGGTTATAGCGAGCAATCGGTTAAAACGTTTCAAACGTAGGTACCGTACCTATAATCCTATACAAAATGTGTTAATTTTTTCGCAAATAATGTACGTGTTTATAAGAAACTTCCATACTCTTTCTAAAAATAAATTAGTCAAAAATGACTAGTCACTAATAACTGAGGTCCACCGCAATTGTCCCCTGAATCCAAAAAGACCCTCGAAAATTATGAAAGTAGAGAAGTTTTTGAGATATAGCGAATTTTATATTATATGGAAAATTAACTATATCTCTCTTGATGACATTTTCGGAGTCAGCGGACAATTTTACATAGGAATTGACTACTAAATGTCCGGGATATAAATTGGTGTGGACGAGATTTATTAGTTGCTGCTTTTTCGCTTTGACTAATTTATTTTTAGAGAGCTCGTAAGTGATGTGTACACTGATATAGTTTATTTTATACTTTTTTGTTTTTTAACTGTAACTTTGTAGCTGGTAAACCGATCTAAATAAAATTTGGTTTGTGGATTACTTTAATGTTAAAATAAACCCTTACTTTCCTTATACCAAGGAATCGATGCAGGTATTCAGCTAGTAGGTAATTAAATAAATATAAACATCGTTTACATATTTGGAATTAAATTTTAAAGAAAAATAATCCAAGAAAACCATAGAAAAAGAATGGAAGAAAATTAAACTTAAAAAAATTATATTTCATTATTTTATTGGAATTTTGTTACATACTTACAAATCTGCATTATGTTTTAGAGCTGCATTGATATTTTTAGAATAAAATTAAAAATATACATAATGGTGTTTTTATCATTTGTCTTATTATTTATTGCGTACATGTATCGCTTAAAGCAAACCCTTTTTTACGGTCCCCTGGGGTTCGTTATAAGCGTTAGAACCCTGTAAGTGTCTTAAAATACAGGGTGTCCCATAATACAGAAATAGGGAAAAAAGTTCCTATAAACATGTGTCGAGAAATGCTTCCTAAGGGAGCTACAGACCCCGAAAGAGGAAGATGATGGTTTTTATTTAAAATCTTCAAAACCGTTCAAGATAGAAAAATTAAATTTTGAAAATTGATCAAACTTCCTGTTACATTGCATAAAATGTCATCAGTCTTGAATAACTTTTTCTAAACATGGCAGCCTTGTTCCATGGCCCAAGCTGAATCTTTTTCTCTAGATGTGATTTTATTATGAATTTTTATGCCATGTAAGGTATTTTCAAATCGATTTTTGGCGAAAATGGTAAATATTATCGAATTCAACAGGAGGACCCTTTTGTGTTTAAACCTTCAAAATAAAATAATCTGACATTAAATCCTGGGACAAATTTAAAATTGTTATTATTACATCTTTGGCCATAACAAGTTTGATCAATTCCCAAAATTTTATGTTTCTATCTTGAACGGGGAGATATTAAATAAAAACCATCTTCAGGGGCTCCTCTTTTGGGGGCTGAAGCATTTCTCGACCTATGTTTATAGGATTTTTTCTTATTTTTGTACGTAAAATCTGCTGTTAGCAAGTATTGCACGTAGATTATGGGACACCCTGTATATAGTATACTACGATGGATTATCAATTATTATATTTAACATTTCATAATTTGAAAACAGTACCTACATAGAATTTTTCGTAATGACAATTATGTTTTTTTAGAAAAAAAGAAACATGCTGGTTATAAAACTTATCGTTGCACTGTCTACTTTAGAAGTCTACTTGTGTCATCCATATTTTCGAGGGACACTTAAAAGAAGCCTGCTGCCAGGAACGAGACTTAGATTTTTCAATAGAATTCCTTTAAATAAAAGACTCGACCTAATAAATCCCTTAAATTTTGAAGCTGGCCACCCCAGAACGGTATCGAAAAAAAATGGGATAGAATTATTGTTTGCAAGACCAACTCTTTTGCAAGCAGTATTTAAATTGTATGCATCAAAGGAAAGACACAAAAGGCAGACTAATGATCACGAAAAGGACCTTATGCAATCTTTTGGTGGGGATAACGTTAATTCAGAAAATACTGAAAATAACCACCATTACAAGCCTCAAGAATCTAGTAATCCACGTAATGGAGTTTACTATCTCATTGACTGGAATACTTTTTTGGAGGTAGATGATACCAAAGGACAAAGTGTTCATTTACGATTTCAGCCAAAGGTTGGAGATCCCAAAAGATTTTTTTTGTAAATATCTAGTAAGCAATATTATTAAAACTTTTAAAGTTGAAATTTAAAACTTGTATTTATTTTTATTATATTATATTAATTTTATTTTTTTATTTATTATTCGTAAGACTACTTTACTAATACTTATTTATATTACCTATAAGAAATAAACAAAAAAATTAATATTATTTATATTTTCACAAATTATTAAAAATTATAATTTACAAATTGTGCTTTATTTAACACATACATTGTCGCTACTAGTGAAAGTAGAACACCTACGTATAACTGACCTACGAGATAATTTTGGTCTGGTTTTACACATAAAAAGACTTTATGTAATCCATTTATTGCACAAATAAAGAAACACGTTTCAATGTTACAAACGTTAATAATAATAATACGTTTCAAGGTTTATTGATAACCAACAATAAATATGTATAAATATATTACATAACAATACTGAATTTATAATACTTTTATATAAATATTCGTTAATAATTTTATTCCTAATAATAAATTATGGTTATGATAAATATATTTAATATTTAAAATGGCAAATGCACCATTAATATTGTTATATAGGAGCATTTTAAATAAATGTATATATGTAGGCTGCAAAAAGAATTTGTACCAATCGGGTAAAGTTTTTACCTACTTGTCAGTAAAATACCCGTTTGGACCAATCAAAAAATTAATTCATTATTAGATCTAATTTAACCTTTTAATAAATATTATAATTGTACGTTTTATGTATTGTTTCACAAAAAAAATTGCGTCATGATGCCCGAGGCGAAGCCGATAATAATGACTACTGATCCAATTAAGTTAAAATTGTATGGTTTTCTATACATTTTTTAGTTTAATGTTCTTTCGTTTTTTGTGATTGTTAGGTCCAGGAAGTTTAGTTTATTGTTTTCTTGTATTTATAACTAGCAAATTTTCTTATATTATAATAATTATAAGAGCCCTATTTATGGGTTATCTTACCAGTCGCACCACTGTCACTAGTCCGCCTGTTATTGAAAATTAGTGCTGCCAGATCGTGAGTCGTGGAATTTTCCGGATTATATCTAGGGCCCAAAACTGTTTCTTTCATCTTCTTAAGATTTAAATAAGTTGGTAACACCCCTTTAAGAAAATGAACTAAATTAATTCATTTTAACCCCCACATACCTAGTCGGTAAAAGTAATGGACATTTAGTTTAAAAGTCTACTTTAACCAGTAGATTTAAAGATTTTCTATTTCTCCCACAAAAACTGTAATGTTTGGTAAATTTTTAATTTAATAAAATAAACATTAAAAGTCTGAAGGATCTTCAAATATTTTATAGTAACTTCTGTTATTAATGAATATAAAATATTTTGAGGGTTAAGGGTAATTCAACAGTAATTATAATTATTGTTTTTCAAACTATAATTATTGACTTTCAACATAAAAATATTTTCCATTTTTAATTTCAAATAATTTAGTTTTCCGCAAATCGGTAGGAAATTTTGACATTAAATGTCAAAATTTTGTCAGAAATTTTCTGACAAAATTTTTTAAAGAAAAAGTCAAGGTTTTTTAACTGTTAGGAAATATTCATTTCCTTACTCTTAGGAAATGATATTTCATATTCGTACTTTTCTCTTTGGCAATATTTCTAATGAAGCAGTATTCACTGCCTCAACCAGCTCTGGAGGAGTCCCAGGAATTAAAAATTCAACATCACTTTTCATTTTACACTGTTTTGCTTTTTAAAACACCAACAATTAAATTTATATGCGTCAAGTTTGACAATTCAACATTAATACGTTTCCATAGTAACGCAACCAATTTTATTACGAATTTCAAAATTATTAGCGATTTTTTCAAAATTAATTAATATCTATCGAATTTTAAACGACTTGCGGAAAAATAGTATGACCTCGTAGGAAAAGCCACATTCATACTCGGTCAACAATGTACTATATTTCATATACATTACAGTAACAGTATTGTATAGGCAGAGAAGTGAAGAAATATGAAATAAAATTGGCTTTAAATTCCTGTGATACTATTTTTCAAAAGATTTCACTAGCGTGTTACTCCACGTTCGAGGAACATCTTCTTTCTCCCACAAGTCGCATATACATATATGTATATTTTTTTAATGTCATTAATAATAACTATTGTCAGAGTTTTTACTCCTGTACCGGATTTAAGGACCCTATTAAATAAAAAAAATTGTTGCACTCAAGATAGCTCTCCCCCTCCGCCATTACACCCACGGCACTCTACTGTTGGCACTGTATACCTTAAGCGTGAAAATACGGTCTAGTATACTTATACGTAATATATATTTTGGATAAAATTCGCACAAATTACAATTGTAAAATTAAATTTTGCAAATGGATAAAGACGCAAAAAACCATGAATACCATGAAAGTTAAAACATGATAGAAGTAGGTATACCTACTTAATATAAATACATAACCATAATAAAACATTCACCAAATTTGTGTAAGAATTATCTTATAATCCTGCTTTATGCAATTCAGGCCGGCAATTGCTGCAGATAATATCTAAAATAATATTAATTGTTTTAGGTTATATAATTGTAAGCTAAATTTAAATTGACAGTGTGCTTAAAGTACACCAAATAATGATTTTAAATTGCTAATAGGTATGTGATTTGTTGACATACATTTATACTTTATTGCAGCCTTTATGTGCATGCTTTAGTAATGCATTACATAATTTATTTATTTGTATTTCTTAATTAAGATGAACGCTAATCTAGAGTATACAATTACATATATTATTAGAAGTAACTTGATTACTACAGGTTAACAGCTAATACTTATGGTTGGCTATATATCATTCAAGAACTATATTTTAAATAATTGCAATGTCATATACTTTGTTTTAAAAATTCCAGTATACGTGAGCATTTACATGTTTTAGTGGCTTACGTGGTTTAGTAAAATAACCAATTAAATAATTATGTTCTCATTTTTGTGTTTAATAAATATTATACATAAACTAATCGATTTGATTATGCTTGAACAATGCTAGAATATGTAAACACCTTTGGAGTAGAGTTCAAAAGTAATCTGGGTCAACCGCCATTAATAAATACAAAAACGCAAGCAGTAGGTACTGGCCATACTAAAATGTAATACAATTATTGTATACATACTGTATATATATACTATATATTATATTACAATAGAAGGGCTAAGAACTAATTCATTGTATATGTTGTATTTTTATATTGATAAAATTTGACCCAAACCCTTTACTAAATGCAGAGGCATTGTTATTACCAATATAGTTAATAGTTAAAGAATATACTTAGACGCCTATTAAGTGTAGATATTTTTTAAATTCAATTTTAATTAACATCCTTATTATTATTATAAAACATAAACATTATTATTATAAAACATATATGTACATTATTATTATAGAACATATACATATGTACATATGTAGGTATATTTATAAGTACCTATATGTACCTAGTAGGTACTACCTACTTGATTTATTTAATTTGATGCCAATACTTTTAAACACATAATTACCATTAAATTAACATTGTAAATTTGTTTATTACAAAATTCTACTTGTTTAATAACTCAATGCTACACAATGTAACCATGGTAAATTATGATGACATAACTTCCATTGTCGTATTTAATAAAAATTAGTTATATAAGTTTAAAAGATCGTTAACATGAAGGCAATCGTTTTGATCATTTAGATATGATATAAAATAGTTCTAGTCAATGTTATCTTTAATTAATTACTGGTTTTTAAAATAACAAAAGGTAATCAGTAATGATCGGTGTGTTTTCGGATATTTGAACATTGTGTTACCGAAATGACCTATTGGTACAAGAGTAACACATTTACCATCGTTTTTATAATTCCAAAATCTAAGTGATTTTTTTAATTTTTTTTATTTTATAACCATCTGGATTTAATTTAATCTGGATTAAATATCGCTAATTTATTTATTGTTTTCTAATTTTCAAAATATGCTTATCCATTATAATATTATTTGAATTTGAATTATTTGAAATTGGTCTGAAAGTATTACAATACTATCAATACCTATTCTACTTTGTAGTCATGATTAAATTTTGAAGATATAGTATTACACAACGGAAGACTATTTTTAGCTCTTAATCTCGTGTTAACTGTTGATTCTATATAATACATTATAATGTATTATATAATGGTGTTGGAGAATTATATTTTATATAAATCCAGTTACTGAAGGTAATTTAAAAAATATTCTAATAAAATTACGTAACAAAACAATCTTAGCGATTGGCAAACTTAAGGACAAATCAATAAATCGCTTACGTTTGTTGTTTTGTACAAATATTAATTTTTTTATTTTATTATAATTTAAATGAATATAATATATTATGATTGATAAAATAAATTAAATTAACAACGTAACAGTTACCTACTATAAAGTAAGTAGGTAAATATAAGCTGTTCTTATACGAACATGAATAAAATTATAATAAATCAAAAAGTGTTCCTATTTCTTTAACTATGTCTATAGAGCATTGAGACTTTGGTATAAAATAAAAAATAAATTTACATATTATTAACGATTACATTACTAAAAAAATAAAATCATAGGTATTTATGTAAGCAATCACAGGGTCATCAAAATTGTTTTACCGAGTTAATTATGTATGTATTTAAATAATTTCCTGTGGATATTTTTGTTTAGGCTTAAATCTAACAAAATTTAATTTAAAAATAGTATATTATGTATCAAGTTTGATAAACGTCACTTTATACACGAATTTAATTTAGGCAGGATCGAGCTTGCGAGCGAGTTCTTAAATTAATGAGTGTATAGAAAAGTTTATAAACAAGATGCACACTATACTTTTTCTACGACAAATACTTATTATTATCTTAAAATGATTTAAATCAAAAATTTGTATAGAGCGCCATCTATGAAACAATAGGGGAATCTGTGTGTCACCGTCAAATGTCAATTTTTTTTATTTTATAAACACAGATTATAA